TAAGGTATATTCCTCAATTAAGGAGTGTTGGAGTCGCTGAAACCCAACGAAAGTGCCCTTTCCCCTACTAACTCTAGAAGAGGTCTATAAAGGTTACTACAATCTGCACTACAGGGCCTTTAATTGGTAGAGTAGAGTTTAGGCTTTCGGGCCTAGGATTTGGGCTTAGGGACTTGAAGCTTCATAGTCGGAAGAGGGTCTTGGGGCATGATGCGGAATACTATATAGTAAGGAACCTTGGTAATTATTCAGGCTTCTATATNNGGGTCCTCATAATAAGGGTCCTACTATTTAGGGTACTATATTAGGGTCCCGTATTTTCGGAAACTCCCATATTCAACCTAGACCCATCGTTCTGAAAGCTGCTGGTCTTTAGAGTCCTTCGCATCGTCTGATGAGCAATATTGCTCTTAATATGGTTACCACCACTGCGCTTATAACCACGACTGCTGCAAATGTCGCTCTTGCTGCACGACTCTGGCTGTTCCCCTTGCTCTTATGACTATCCTCACGTAGTGCAGGGGTCTGAAATAGCAGTACTCGTAGTAATATTCCCTTCCATAGTCCGTGTCTAACTACATTACATTACAATACGCCCCACAACCCTACCCTAAACCCTAAACCCTAAACTGTTCCGATTCTTCAGGCCCCTGTTTTACCAGCCGTCATCCACGGCCCAGCATGAAGTCTCCTCTGACGGCAAGCGGCTCGGGAACCAATCGGGTTTCTCCCGAGGATCGCGACCGTCACTGGGCCAACCGATGCAAATGCCGCAGACCTTTTTTTGGGGGGGAAGTTAAGGTTTTAGGGTTTAGGGTTTAGGGTTTAGGGCTTAGGGTTTAGGGTTTAGAGTTTCGAGTCTAGTTTACCCTTAACCCCACCCCTCTCCCCGGATGTAGCTCATTTGGTTGAGTGACCTCGTGGTGCAGAGCCCCTATGATTACAGAAACAAGCCTGTCACTATTTCAATGCCCTGAACCCTAAACCCTAAACATTAGCATAAATAGCTAGTTGCATAGTACGTTACGATGCTAACCCTTCGGGTTCTAGGATGAATCTACTCCCAACCCTATCTAAAGTGCTAGTGCTTCTTATGTTAGAGCTTGGGGCCTAGGGGGTGCTGGGCTGGAAACTTGAGGCTGTCAATTTCAGGTTTCAAAGTTTAGGGCTTGGGGTTTAGTGTTTAGGGTTTAGGGCTCAGGCTTTGGGGTTTAGGGTTGGGGGCTTGGGGTTTCGGGTTTAGCGTTTAGGGGTTTGGGTTCGGGCGGTTAGCGTGTGCCTAGGATGCAACATCATTCTGACAGCACAGCGACTGCAAAGCCCGTAATTTCGAGAATATGCCTTAGATCAGATGAGGGTTCCTGCTACAAGTTAAGAGGATCTTCTAAATAATGGGTTTTGCTATCTCTGGATGGAGGGTTTGATCACCCCAAACTTTATTTAAAGTAGAATCCTTCATCAAGGAGCCTTTGCGGACTCCGAGAGCTTGGGTTTTGAAATCCATAACCCAGTACCCATAGCCCCCCCGCCCTCTCCGAGTCCAGTTGCCCTTAAAGCCAAAACCGGAAACTCGAACCCTGAACCAGAACACCCTAAATGCTAAACGTACTAAACCCCCGGAAACACTTACAGAACCCTCACCACAGAGGGATACGTCTACTAGTGAATCCTAGCAGCCTACACCCGAAACCCGAAACCTTAAACCCTCTAACCCTAAACTCTAAACCCTAAACCCTAAACCATAAATTCCTAAACCCTCTAACCCTAAACTCTCAACCCTAAACCCTAAACACCCTATGCGTTGTGCAGCCAAGAAGGCCAAGTGTTCGTCTTCGGGCATCGACTCAGTCCCCAAGACTTCCCTGAAGCTCGAGGGCTCGGGGTTTCGGAGTACAGGGTTTAGGGTTTTGTTTTTGAGGGTTTAGGGTTTAGGTTTGTCTTAGGGTTTAGGGTTTTTTGGCTCCGGGGTTGAGGTTTAGGGCTCAGGGTTTTGGGATCTAGGGTGTTTAGTTTAGGGTTCAGGGTTTAGGGTTCAGGGTTCAGGGCTTAGGCTGAATTGGGGGGATGTTTGTTTAGGGCGGTACTTTGGGTTTGTAGGGGGTTATTAGGGGCCATACGTGGTTTTGTAAGGCTCGACAACGTTCCGTCTTTAGGTGTTCATGGCGAAGATTTATGCGTTTGAATGCTAGTGTGTAGTTGCAAGTCGGTTTTACATGCTTGTGTGTATGTACATAAACAAAAAACATACATACATACACATATATATATATATATACATACATACATACATACATACATACATACATACATACATACATACATATATTGTTTCTTAATCTGTATACATACGTACATCTGTCTAACAAGTTGGCATGGTGTTGTTGATGCTCGTTTTCTAGATGTGACCTTTCCTTCTTTAAACTCTGACCCGGACTTCATGCTGGTCCAGTTGTTGTATTTGGTTTAGGGTTTAGCGTTTAGGGTTTTCCCTCTGTTGACAGGATAATGCTGATGCTGCTCCTGCGCACGGCAGAAGTTCTTGCAGTCTGTATCTGTGTATCCTTTCTATGTGCGCCCGCAGTTTGCCTCTTGCTGGCTCAGCATTGTTTGGACTTCTGATATTTCAACTGCGACTGTCTCTACTATCAAGTATGTTCCCAGCGCCTACATCATCAGTCACTGCGATGGTGGTTTGCATGTGATGGATTGGTACATTAAGTCATTAAGTTCTCAGAGTTTCAGTCCTTTCGTATGCAGAGTGCCGGAACAGCAAGGGAAGCAGCAAGACAGTGGTACAAGGGGATGAGCAGGAAAAGGAGTAGCGGGCCTAAGAGCAAGAGTCCAGCTATGCAAAGTCTGATGGTAGTTGTGGCGGTAGTCTTAGACGTAGTCGTAGCCGCGGCAAGACGGCATGCATGGACAACCCTCGAACCCAACAACACTGTTGTAAGGATGAAATTGCAATATCGAAGTCATATTCGAAGCACTGAGGCTTAGGGTTTAGGGTTTAACGTTTAGGTTAGCATGTAGCATTTAGGGTTTAGGGTTTTCGATTTTGGGATTTATGGGTTTAGGGTTTAGGGACTAGGGCTTCGACGTCGGAAAGTGTTCTGAACATCTGTCTCACGAGGATCAGCCCCAGGCTGCTGTATTTCCGAACCCCTCTGCCGCTCAAACCGTAAACTCCGACTCCAAGACCCTGGGCCAGAGACCGCAAAGACTTCGGCGGTTATAGGGTTTAGGGTTTAGGGTTTAGGGTTTAGGGTTTAGCTTCAAGCTCAAGCCTGCAGATGTCCGTGTACTTCGCCACGGAGCCCAGCGGTTTACCACCCAGACCGTAAGCTTGCATGCCCACGAGGATCGCATACCTGAAAATACAAGCAGCGGCCGCAGCTTCTTGTGGCCTAAAAGTTAGGGCTGAGATCTCCGGACTGCAATGCAAGTAGATGCTGAGGAAGCGAAGCAGGCTCACGTCTACGAAACTTCTGCAGAATGCCGGGCAAAGACACGTTCTGTGGAGACGGGGATAACCCTGGACCCGAAACTCTAAATATTAAACTGAAACCTCGACTCTATATTTCTAAACCCATTAAGCTTAAACCTCAACTCTAAATCCTAAACCCTGGAATCTTCAGAGTGCCGCTGGGTTTGACTCGATGATTTGTCTGATCAACGGAAAACCGGTCATCAACATGCCCCTAGCTAGGCATAGGCGAGAAGATAAGCCCGTTTCGGATTTAGGGTTGAAGGTTTAGGGTTTGGGGTTTAGGGTTTAGGGTTTAGGGTTTAGGGTTTAGGGTTAGGGTTTAGGGTTTAGGGTTTAGGGCTTAGGGTTTAGGGTTTAGGGATGATACGACCCATAGTCTCCACCTGGTTCGGCTGGCTCGAAGTGCCGGTCCAAGGCACATGTAGGATCCAATATCCACAAAAGTTCCTGCAGCACGGACACGCCGCGAATGGTTAGTCCGCGGAAACCTCGTCGCGTTCTTAAGTGAACCCTAAACCCTAAACCCATCGACTGTCTTCCGAATTCCGAAGTTACAACGAACTCACAGTCCCCATACCATTATCCCAAGGCCCCGCGGCCAGAGAACATCAAAACTCGAGGCCTAAGCCTAAACCGAAACCCTAAACCCAAACCCCAAACCCTAAACCCTAAACCCTAGACCGAGACCCCAAACCCCAAACCCCAAACCCCAAACCCTAAACCCTAAACCCTAAACCCAAACCCCAAACCCTAAACCCTAAACCCCAAACCCCAAACCCTAAACCCCTGATCCGTCTCTCCCACACGGTACGACTTTCGACAACTCAGGATCTAAAGCTTAGGCAGCTTAGGGTTTAGGGTTTAGGGTTTGGGTTTAGGATTTGGGTTTAGGATTTGGGTTTAGGATTTGGGTTTAGGATTTGGGTTTAGGATTCTTAGGGTTTAGGACTTGGGTTTAGGATTTGGGTTTAGGATTTGGGTTTAGGATTTGGGTTTAGGGTTTAGGGTCTAGGGTTTACCGCTCAGGGAAGCTTAAGGCTTAGGCTATGCAGCTCAGGGTCTAGGGCTTAAGTTTTGTTGGGGTTTAGAGTTTAGGGCTTACCTGGGCCCCTAAAGAACCTACGTTTTTTGGGGTACCTTATTATGAACTCTTTATATAAGTCATCAAAAAGGTAGGAGGTTACTTGGGGTGAAGGTAGCGTTTAGTTTAGGGCTACTGTAAGGATTTAGGGCTGTGGGATTTACAACCTACCGTAACATAGCCCCAAAGCCATTTGGAATCCTTCAGGTGAGGACGTTGTTCGGGTTTTCAGGCTCAGGTCAATTGGGACCCTCCCCAGACCCCAAAAACCCAGCCCTAAACCCTCGAACCGTAAACCCTGAATTACCAAACCCAAACCTCAAAACCCCAAAACCTAAATCCCTAAACCCCTAAAACCCTAAAACCCTAAAACCCTAAAACTCTAAAACAATAAAACCCTAAAGCCCTAAAACCCTAAACCCTAAACCCTAAAACCCTAAACCCAGCCGCCGAAAGCCACTCCTGCTGCGGCAGTCTTGGGAGCTTTCAGCAGCAACCTGCATGGGTTTAGGACTTCTGGGGTGTTTAGGGTTTAGGGTTTAGGCTTTAGGCTTTAGGGTTTGGGGAAAAAACTAAGGGTACTACGGGGTTCCTTTAAGGGGGGTGGGGATTCAGGGTTTAGGGTTTAATTGGAGTTTAGGGTTTAGGCTTCGGGGTTTAGGGAGTGTTCTCTTGGGGGTTGTAGGCTTGCGGAGTTTGGATCTGATGCTTGGCGTCCTGTATGCTTCAAGGCTTCGGGCTTGGGAGGCCTGTCTGGAGTTCCCAAATAGTTGGAATAGGGTTTTGGGGCTTAGGGTTGGGGGTTTAGGGTTTAGGGTATGTAAGGGTTTAGGGTTTAGGGTTTAGGGTATATAAGGGTTTAGGGTTTGGGGTTATATATACGCAGAAATTATGCACGGGCGATAGGAGAAAAAAGCATTCAGAACCCTAAGACCTACGACCACTCAGAATCGCAGAGCATCGGCAAGATCTCGGGGTTCCTCTGCATAGGGATTGCTACAGTCAACTTCGCGTCAAGAACGTACCTTAAAGTACAATCAAGCTAAATAAACACTAAGACCCTAGCCGTTATAGTAACCCTTGTAGAACCCTGATAGTACCCTGCAGTAGCGATCCTTCATAGTCGCCCCTTCGGTCACCTGTACTATCGCCTGAGGCAGACACAAACCCCTACCGAGACTCGCGACCGAAGGAGGTAAAGCCATCGACCGCTTCAAACACTGAAGCCCGAAACCTATGAACAGGGCTGGGTTTGGGGTTTAGGGTTTAGGTTTTAGGTTTTAGGGTTTAGGGTTTAGGGTTTAGGGTTTAGGGTTTAGGGTTTAGGGGCTTTTACCAAGGGTTTCCATGGGGGTTGTAGACCATTTTGTCAGGGTTGTAGTCAGGTCTCACCTTTTCAGTGAGCCTTAAGCGTTCAGGCTGCAGCCCTAAACCCTGAAGCCTAATACGGGGTTTAGGGGTTTACGGGTTTTGGGTTTAGGGGTTTAGGGGGTTTAGGGGCTTAGGGATCTATGGGTTTAGGGTTTAGGGTTTCACGAGTTTGTTCAAGCGCTCTTCCTCGGATGTTCGGAGGTTCTTCGTGTGCCGGAGGCTGCGCGACCCCTCGCACAGACGCCGAACCTCATTTCGTAAATCCGGCCCTAAACCCCAAACCCCAAACCCTAAACCCTAAACCCTAAATCCCAAATCCCCCAAAATCTCAGCAGATGCAACCGATTTGCAAGACGGGAGCTCCCCAGAACTCGTAATTCGGGCGGTACTTCTTGCGGCGTCCGTCCTTCGTCTTCGGTGTGGGAGCTTGTGGGCTCACGGGCTTTCGGGCTTTAGGAGTTTAGGAGGTTTTAGGTTTAGGGTTTGAGGTTTAGGGCTTAGGGCTTTGGATTTAGGGTTTAGGGGTTAGGGTATAAGGTTTAGGAGTTTAGGGTTTCAGGGTTTCAGGTTGTAGGGCTTCAGGCTTTAGGGTTTAGGGTTTAGGGTTTAGGAGTTTAGGGTTTCAGGGTTTCAGGGTTTAGGGCTTCAGGATTTAGAGCTCTCTGCATCTGACAGCTTGGTAGGCCCTGAACCTTAAACCGAGGGCTTTGGGTTTTGAGAATTTTGTGTTTCGCTTTCAGAGTGTCGAGTTTGGGGTTTAGGGTTTAGGGTGTAGGGATATTAAAACTTTAGATAATCTGGTGCTCAAGCTTTAGGGCTCAAGGCTGAGAGGTTCAAGCCTTTTTAATGATGACACTCTCTATAGGCCTTCCACTGATTCTGGGTCCCCTGAACCCCACACCCTAAACCCTACAGGAGTTGGGTGTAGCATTTCGGATTTAGGGTGATTTAACCCTAAACCCTAAAGGAGTTGGGCTTAGGGTTTCGGATTTAGTGTGATTTAACCCTAAACCCTAAACCCTAAACCCTAACCCTAAATCCTAAACCCTAAACCCTAACCCTAAAGGAGTTGGCGTTGGGTGTGTGGAGCTTAGAGTTGAGATTCCGGGGGTTGATTTTAACGGCTTTCCGTGCTTCATCAAGGCCCGGTCTGTGAACCATACAGTGCCTGAGACCACGACATACAGGGTTTAGGGTTTAGGGTTTAGGGTTTAGGGGACATACAGCCTTGAACCCTAAACTCCGAAGTCCCACGCTAACCCCTCGAAGCCTGCCACTCTGAGGACATACGGCTGATGATCTAAATCCTGCCTTCCCCATGATAGGGAACATACCATAACTCCCATAGTTTAGCGTCCTGAAGGTAATGCAGGATTTATATCATCAATCTTGAACCCTAAACCCTAAACCCTAAACCGAAACAGTAGCAGGAAACCCACAAGAAGGAACCGCGAACATGCAGGGCTTGAAGCGTTTCGGTGGAACTCCAAAACTCTGGAGCCCGAAGCCCAACACCTAAACCCTAAAAACCCAAACTCTACACAAAGGATCATGAACCTGGTAACTAAATTGAGAAAAAGGGGGATAAGTTTTTATCATCTCCAAATCAGGTATTTACTGATAAGTTTATAGTCATACTTGCTCAGTCCCATGATCCTTTAAGTAAAAGCCCAAACTGACGCCAAAAGCGTCCTTGTCATCCCGCTCCAGCTTGTGCCGCTCCTCGTAGAGCTCGAAGCCATACTGGTCCTCTGCTAGGGTCCCTAAACCCTAAACCCCCAATGAACCCTAAACCCCAAACCCTAAACCCCCGAAGCTCTACAGAGATTCGGCTTTAGGGTTTAGGGTTGAAGGATCGAGTGATGTAGGATTTGGAGCTTAGGGTCCAGGGGCTTCTGGGTTTAGGGTTTCGGGACACCCGAAGATTCCCCCCACCCCCGCACCAGTAGCTACCTTTGCATCTCTGCACAAACGCTGTATGGAAGACTCATACCTGATTTCCCCACGTTTATGGGTTAGGGTAAAGGCGTAGCGGGGACCAACGACAAGATCCAACACAAACGAGTCGGTCGACAGGTGAAGTGCCGGCTAACAACTTCAGGACGGGGAAACATACTAAATGGGAACGCAAAGCTTTGAAAGGTAAGAGTAGAAACGAGGAGTAACTGAGTAACTTATGACAGCTGGCCACGCAACTACAGGAACGGCGGCGATGAAAAAAAGTATACACCAAAAAAGAATTGAAATAGTGATGCCTGCAAGCACATGAATGTAAATGGCAGTGATGGCTGTGATGCCGAGAAAAACCCGAGGCTCCGAACAAAAAGATGCCGAAGCCCTGAGAGCCGAGCTCAAACCACACAACTCTCAAGCATCCCTCTAACCCAGGGACTGAAATACCCCTTAATTAAGGAATATACCTTAAATTCTAGCAGGGATCCCTAATATGATTTAAGGTATATTCCTTAATTAATGGGTATTGGAGTCTCTGGGAACGCTCGCTCGAAAAGGAGCTCAAGAAGAAAACCACAGAACCCTATTCCCCCCCAAAACACGATTACAAATTCAATACCCTAAAACCCTGAACTCTCAAGACCTAAATCCCTGAGCCCTAAACCCGTTCACAAACTCTGCAGAATGACGTTGCTGAAGGGTTTAGGGTTCAGGGTTTAGGGTTCCGAAACCCTTTCAAAACCCTGTGCATAACGAAGGGCCTTGCCCTTCTGCATGCGCGAGGTGTTCTGGGCGCTGTACTTCTTGTAGGTTTGTCCTTCGGGTTTAGGATTACCGATCAGCTTGAACTCTAAATCCTAAACCCGGCAATTCTTTCCAGAACTACAAAGGTTCTAAAAGGGTTCTCCAAGGGTTCGATGATACAGGGTTCTTGATGATTCGAAATCACAAAAAGTTTTTATGTCTGCTTTACTTTCGTTCTACTGGGGAACCACAAGTAAGTGCTACTAATGCCTCACGCCCCAACACTAAACCGGCTCAAGGTTTTGCATTTTAGGGCTTGGAGCTTTGGGATTGTAGGGTTTACAGTTCAAGGTTTGATGCCTCCAACTCAAAACTATACTGAACTTAGACCCCTAGCAAAAAACTATTAATATAGCTGCTTCTTAGGGCTTATAGTAGCCAAAGATGAAAAGTTATTTCTAAGTACCCTTAAGAAAACCCTACACCCTTAGGGAGGGGCCAAGCCCCCAAACTCGCAGTGCTGCGGCGCTTGAGAGTTGACGGGTCTAGGTGTCCGGATTTGACGTGTCGGGATTGCGCTATTGGGCTCATTGGGTTTAGGGTTTAGGGTTTAGGGTTTAGGGGTTTAGGGTTTAGGGCTCATTGGGTTTAGGTACGGCTTAGGGCTTTTGGTTGGGAGGGTTGAGGGTCAGGCGTTCTGCACCTAAACTTTCAGATTCCGAGAACCCGCTGGGGCGCTTGGGCCGGTAAAGACCCTGACAACCAGGGTTTAGGGTTTAGGGGACCCAACAATCCCCAAAACCGAAACCCTAAACCCTCAAACCGCCCGCCTCCATCATTGCCGGCATCGAAATGGTCAAGCATGGCTTTCGAGAGCTTGTCTCTCGCAGCACCTCCAGAGCGCCAAAGCGCTGCAAAGCCCGGCATGACCGTGCCAAAATCTAAAATCCTGAACCCTAAACCCTGAATCGGTTTAGGCTTTAGTTCGGGTTGAGGGTTTACGGGTTTAGAGTTTAGGAGTTTAGGGTTCTCGGGGGTTTTTGGGCCATAGAAGGATATGCACGTTTGGGTTTGAAGGTAGGCCATGATTGTCAAACCTGAGTGAACCTTATACACACCGTTTACCAGGCCTTAGGGTTTTTGGCATCAGGCTCCGGCTTCCACATAGGAGCCTCATCCTGTAGTATAGCTCTAAATACTTCTTTCTAGGCAGGCTTTGGGATATTATCCTACTAAGCTTACCATAGGGACTCTGTTGAAGAATCCTATGTGGGCTTTCATGAGCTCGAGCCTTGGATCACAGTAACGGACCAGGGCTGCGAATTCGACGCCGAAGTCACATAGCGGGCTGCCGACCTGGCGGAAGCGACGATTGCTTGGTGGTCCTGACGGGCGGCTGTTCTGGTGGTAAAAACCCAACAACAACATGAGTAGCACCGGCACTGACAGAAGCAACAACAGTGAAAGCATCGGTACTGCGTAACAGTATATAATACTAGCGGCAGCAGCAGCAGCAGCAGCAGCAGCAGCAGCAGCAGCATCAGCAGCAGCAGCAGTGGCACCAGTAGCAGTTGGTGGTGGTAGTAGTAGTAGTAGTAGTAGTAGTAGGAGTAGTGGGGAATTTTTCCGGGACAAGACCTCAAAACCTCGCACTTCAAACCACCCCTAGCCGTAGCTAATCTGCCAAGCCGCAGAATGGAGGCAAGGAAGTCGTAAGGAACTGGCCGGGGTGTATCCAGGGTGTGGGAGCAGTGCCGGGAATGCACCTCCCGTCAGCCACGGCTTGGGTGTGACGGGATTGGGAAAGGCATCCCTCGATCCTTAAACAAAGCCTAAACAAGGCAAAGAAACCCTCAGAAGCGAAGAAAACCCTTTAAGGCCTAAATGGAGTTTGACCCAGTAGCCTTTATTTCCTTCCTGAGCTTTTAATTATTTTACTTATCAAAATAATAGAAACAATAGAAATAATGGAAATAATTAAAATAACTAAAATCAGCCTTATTTTAAATATTTCACCAGAACAACTCAGAGAAGTTGGCTACTGAGGGTTTCGAGCTCTGCGACTCCTATCCTTCAGCTCCTCGGGTCGGCTGGCGTTAAGGTTTGGGCTTAGGGTTTAGGGTTTAGGGTTTAGAGTTTAGGGTTTAGGGTTTAGGGTTTAGAGTTTAGGGTTTAGGGTTTAGGGTTTAGGGTTTAGGGTTTTCTAGAGTTCAGGATTTTGGGTTTAGGGTTTAGGGTTTAGGGTTTTCTAGAGTTCAGGATTTAGGGCTTAGGGTTTAGGGTTTAGGGTTCAGGGTTTTCTAGAGTTCAGGATTGAGGGTTTAGGGTTTAGGGGCTCAAGGATTTAAAAAGCTTGGGGCTGAGGATACGGTTGAGGGTAGGTTGAAGGAGTTAGGTTTAGAGGTCTATCATTCTGGGTGTGTTGGTACAGGGCTTCAGGGGCATAGGCAGGCGGGTCAAAAGGCCAAGTGAGGTTTTCGAATTCTGAGAAGAATGACGACCAGGGGCTTAGACTACTCACACGCTTCGACTGAGAAACTGCAACCTTTGAAAAAGTTCCTTAAATGAGTAGGGCTTTTAGGGTTTAGGGTTCTCCCGCCCTAATCTGGGCTAGAACGTACTGCCAACAATCACCCAACATATGGGCACCTATGATGCAGACACTAGTAACAACATGACAAGAACAAGAACAGAAAATCCCACAACACACAAGAAACAACAGCAAGACAAGTGCTTGATTTAACCTCAGAACCCCAGACCCCGAAAGTTGCACAAGTAAGTATCGAAGGTGAAAACCCATCAAACATCCACACCCCAGCCTGTACATACTCATCCCTGAACCCTAAACCCTAAA